ATAATTTTTTTGCAACTAAACGCTGACAAAACTGAGGTGCTTCTGCTAGGCCCCGCTGCACTCAATAGTACTCGTACAAGTAGGTTAGGTTCCTTTAGTAACAACTTACAACACCATGTAAAAAATCTAGGGCTCTATTTCGAACCATTACTACAATTTGACAAGCATATAAGCATGGTTGTAAAGAGTAGCTTCTTCCACCTCAGATTTGTCACAAAAGTTAAACATTTTCTCTCTCGAAAAGATCTCAAAATTGTCATCCATGCATTAATCTCTTCCAGCCTTCACTATTGTAACTCTCTGTATGTCGGCCTTTCTCAATGCACTTGGCTTCAGATGGTTCAGAATGCAGCAGCCAGATTGTTGACAGGAACAAAAAAGAGGGAGCATATTCAGAGTTGATTTTAAGATCCTTCTTTTTTGTATACAAGGCATTGCAAAAGTCAGCCCCGGATTATATCTGGGATCTTATCCAGCCATATACAACCTCTAGGTCGTTAAGATCTTGTAACCAGCTTCTTTTATCTGTCCCTCGTTCTCGCTGTAAATCCAAAGGTGAGAGCTTTCGCTGTTGATGCCCCTAAACTCTGGAACAGTTTACCCCTCATTATCAGGGCCTCTCCATCACTCTGTGTTTTTAAATCAAATTTAAAGACTCATTTTTCCACCCTTGCATTTGAGTGATGCTGTGTACGGTACCTATGATGTATGTTTTTGTGTATATACATATTTTAATTTTAATGTATCTTTTCTGTTTTGTTTTTTTATCTGTTGCTTCTTATCTAACCTTTTATTGTAAAGCACTTTGGATCAACGATGGTTGTGTTAAAGTTGTGCTCTATAAATAAAGTTTGACTTGACTTGACTAGTTCAGACAAAAATGAACATTTGCTGCAAATGGGCTCACTCTCAGGCCATCTGAGATGTAGATGGGTTTGTTTGTTCATCAGATTTGGAGAAATGTGTCATTTCATCACTTGCTCAGCAATGGATGCTCTGCAGTGAATGGGTGCCGTTAGAATGAGAGACAAAACAGCTGATAAAAACATCACAATAATCCACAAGTAATCCACTCCACTCCAGTCCATCAGTTAACATCAGCACCCATTCACTGCAGAGGATCCATTGCTGAGCAAGTGATGCTATGCTACATTTCTCCAAATCTGATGAAGAAAAACTCATCCTAATCTTGGATGACCTGAGGGTGAGCACATTTCATCAAATGTTAATTTTTGGGTGGTCTATTGCTTTATTATATAGATGCATGAAGTGAGATTCACTGAACATAAAAAATACATTATCCTTATTAAAAGTTGACAACAGACTCTATTTGCTTTCTTAATAAATATTCCTGGTTTTATTATAAATCAATCATCAGTGCATATGTTACTCTAAAGAAACAAAGTTGTCTTCTGATGGAAGTAAAAGAGGTTGCTCGTGCTGAATTTGAAAGAAAATTTATGTATAGCATAAGCATAAATGTTTTGAGCTTGTTGAGCTGGTCTTGTTAATGCATGTCTAAGCACATTTAGTCAATTCTGTCCACCACACAGTAACGTTAATGGAAATGAGCAATAGAATAAATGAGAAGCCTTTTTAAAGAGGTCGAACATTGATTCTTGTCGTGTACAGCGGGTCTGCTGAATTAAACAGGTCGTCAATGGCTTTGTTTCTGTCTCTTGTCATTGACCACTGAGAAGCTGATGGTTTATTTTCCACTTCCACATGATTACCCTTCACCCCAAACTCCCAAACCCTACAGGCCTGCATGTGCATCTGATTAATTTACGGTCAAAAACATTTTGCTTTGTTTACAGTCAATGTGCATCATGTTACATAATTGCATGGTTTCATTTCATTACATTACGTAATCATATTGTTAGCGGACCAATGCAAACAGCAGCTTCTAGAAGACATAACTTTGAAAAAAAATTAAGAAAAATATCCATATTCAAAACGTAATAATCACTTGAATCTAGATTGCGCTCACTGTTGTACACAGAAGCAGCTCCGTGAGCATGACGTATGAGTTCAGCGTTGTGCATGCGCCGCTCAGAAGTGACGAACATGGAAGCACGGAGGAGAGATCAAAACAAAACAACGGTCACTAATTAGAAGTACAAAAAGAGGATTTGTAAAGAAGAATGTCGGAGGATTTCGATATAAGCCAAGAGGAGACTGGTTTTTCTTTGCTAAAGTAAGGAAACTTTGCTTCCTTTGCTCCGGTTAACAAAAAAAAAAAAAAAAAAAGCTTAAATGAACAGTTTTAAGCCAAAATATAAAAAGAATAATAAAAGTCAAATATCAAAATATAAAAGTCAATATTCTATGAGCATTCTTCAGAATACTTCACAATTACACAGAAAGAAAGAAAGAAAGAAAGACATACCGGGTTGGAATGCCGTAAGGATGAGTACATTTTATATTTATATGCATTACTCAAGATTGTCTCTCAGAGTCAGATCTTTAGCACTCGTAAGTGTGTGTGTGTTTTGTCTTTAGAGCTGTGATCTGTAAGAAAGTGTCATGGGACTGAGGAGAGCGGTGCTCTTTAAGAGTGAGAGCTGAACAAATGCAAAAAGTGTGTCAGCGACCCTAGAGGATTTAGACTGAATGCATCGCATAGAGTGCATCCACAATAAACCAATGTTCATTTCATTTTGGTTTAATTTTTAATCATAGTCTTTAAACTAAAATGCCACTTAGTCATGTTTTACTCATCTGAATTGTTTTAGTCTAGCTTCAGTTGACTAAATATCTAAACTTGACTAAAAAGAAGATATTAAAACAATTAAGCATTTCTCTAAAAACCCCAAATTCATTATATACTCCTGGAAAATATATTATTAACCTGTTAATATGAGTGATTTTAAGGTTTGAACATGCAACACACACAGATTTAATGTTTTGGTTTTTTTAATGAATAGCCTACTGAAATATGAAAGGATAAAAAAAATTAAATGATACTCCAAATATCTAACTAAAAAGCAGCACTGTTTTAATGATGAGTGAGTCATTGAATAATTCACTCAACCAATTAGTTCAAAGGGCTGATTCATTCAGAAACAAAGCAAGCCCTTATGAATGAGTCACTGAATCACTGACTCATGATTCATTCAAACAGCTGATTCATTCAGAAACCAAGCAAGTGACTGAATCATTGACTCACGCCATTTGTTCAAAACCATGGATTCATTCAGTAATGAAACACTGCTGTGTGTCGCTGAGAGATTCTCAACAGTTAGAAAGTGCGAAACTGAGCAAAACACATTAACTTTATTTCATTGTTGTATAAAATCAATATTGACTAAATCGACAGCCCTAGATTTATGTATATAGTTAAGGAAAACTATGAAGACAATTAGTTATCAACAAACTTCACACTGCAGTTAACTACTCCTGTTTAACCTTAATTAATCTCATACTTTTATTTACAGGAATTACATAATTTTACATCCACTCACAAGTTTTACATTAAATCTAGGTATAGAATCCAAACCAAACCGCAACTTTATCATGTTCACATCTGTATTTGAAAATGCTCCTCACCATGAAGCCTGTGAAGAAGAAGTGTCTGCTGTCACCATCTATTACTGACGGCAAACCGTCCCTCTCAGCAAAGACTAAAATAAATCCGTCAGTATAAAACCATGTCAAGACTGCTAGACGTCAAGTATACAGCAGAATGAGTAATTAAAATAAAAGACAAAATCAGCAGTGAGTCACACTGCAGTGACGCAGGATTGAGGAGTTAAGACTAAACATTTCACAACATTAGTTGGCGCAAACCTCAGTGTAGTCGTTATACTGGAATATGTGTCTTGAAATCATTTTTTAATGAGATATTGTGAAAAAAGAATTACAAAAGATCTCAAAAGTGTACTCATAGATCTCAATATGAACTCATCAAATTCAGCCGTCATCCACATTATTTTTATACTGGGAAGTTTGTAATAATTAAGATTTTTTTATGTTTTTGAAAGACGTCTCTTCTTCTCACCAAGGCTACATTTATTTGATAAAAAATACAGTAAAAATAGCTAAATATTATTAGAATTTAAAACAGCTGTTTTCTATGTTAATATATTTTAAAATGTAATTTATTGCTGTCCTCAAAGCTGAATTTTCAGCATCATTACTGCAGTCTTCAGTGTCACATGATCTTCAGAAATCAGTATAATATGCTGCTCTGCTGCTCGAGAAACATTTCTGATTATTATCAATGTTGAAAACAGTTGTGCTGCACAATATTTTTGAGGAAACTGTGATGCATTTTACTTCTCAGGATTCTTTGATGAATAGAAAGTTCAAAAGAACAGCATTTATTTGAAATAGAAATCTTTTGGAACATTAAAAATTGCAAAATGCTTCATATTTTTTTTGCGGAAACTGTGATATACTACCATTTGATTCAAGTTTGGGATCAACAAAATTTATTTATTTTTTTTAATTAATACTTTTATTCAGCAAGGATGCATTAAAATAATCACATGCTGACAGTAAATACATTTATAATATAATATAATTACAAAAGATTTCAATATCAAATATATGCTGTTCTTTTGAACTTTCTATTCATCAAAGAATCATGATAAATAAAGAAAATATTGGGCAGCACAACTGTTTTCAACATTGATAATAATCAGAAATGTTTCTTGAGCACCAAATCGGCATATTATACTGATTTCTGAAGATCATGTGACACTGAAGACTGGAGGAATGATGCTGAAAATACAGCTGCGCATTTTGAATTGCAATAATATTTTACAATTTTTACTGTATTTTTTATTAAATAAATGCAGACTTTGTGAGCAGAAGAGACTGAAATGAAACCAAATATCATTTGAAAGTTTCCTGAGCTATAAAGTAACAAAGTCTTAAAAATAAAACACTTTCCTCCAGAAACTCCTGTGTAATGCTCACTTAGACACTTCACTGTCAAAAAGAGCCTCAGCTTCATAACAATAAACGCTTAAAGTTGATGAGACGTGAGATCCTACCTGAAGAAGGCATACATGACCAGCATGTTTCCGATCACTCCCACAGCCCCGATGACGGCCACGAAGAAGGCCACTATGTAGTGTGCATGACCGGGAACGTCCACTTCCCTGAAGAAGCCACGGTCCATGTCCACCGGCTCCTCCATACCTGCCACAACGATGGAGAAGACGCTCGTTAAAGCTCCATCTGACTTCACTGACCTCTTAAAGTTCAGCGAAAGAGATTCTCTTTTATAAATAAATTAAAAATGTACTGGCATCCTGCAGTACAGCATGACAAACATAACGTCTGAGTCCTGCAGTGTTTACAGATATTGAATATTTCTATATTTCACTACTGTATATGAACTGAAGCCCTTCAGTCGGCTGATAAAGTGCCCTGCGGCTCTGATTATTGATTTGCTCCCAGTAACTGCTCCTGTCTAAAGTTACACTGAAGCGTTTATGAAAACAGACAATACTGAATATTAAGTTATGACACTCTATTTCACTATCCATAAAATGATGTACTTTATGTTGTGCAGGAGAGCTTTATAATTGGAATCAATCAATGTAATTTTGACTTTATCTCAACTTCTTTTTTCTCTCGCAGATGAGATTCTCGCAGTTCTGGGGGTTTTTTCTTGCAGTTTGCAATTTCTCAGAATTGTGAGAACAAATGTCAGAACTGTGGGATAAGAAGTTGCAATAGCCTTATTTTTTATTGTGTCAGAAAATAAAAAGAAGACTTTTTCACAATTGCAATTTAAAAATGACATATGTTACAAACTCAATTCTGATGAAAAAAGTACAAATTGCAAGATATAAATTGTGAGATAAAAATGCTGAATTATGAGATATAAATTCAGAATTGTGAGATAAACGCAGAATTTTGAGATATAAGTGGAGAATTATGAAGTATAAACTCAATTGAGAGATAAACGTAAATAAAAAAGCTGAATTATGAGATAAAAACTCAGAATTTTGAGATATAAGTGGAGAATTATGAAATATAAATTCTAAATTGAGAGACATAAATGCAGAATTATGAGATAAAAAACTCAGAATTGTGAGACAAACTTGGAATTAAGAAATATAATATATGGGATGTAAAATTATGAGTTATAAATTGATAATTATGAAACAAACTCAGAATTATGAGATAAACTCGGAATTGAGATTTATAAACTTACATTTATAAACTATTTATAAACTATAAAATCGGAATTGAGAAAAGCACACAATTGTGAGATATAAACAGAATTATGAGATATAAACTCAGAATTATAATATAAACTCAGAATTGCAAGTAAAAATGTAGACTTCTGAGTTTCTATCTCACAATTTTGAGAAAAAAAATTATCAGAATTGCAAAAACACAAACAAAACTAAACTAAAAAGGTCTGAATTGTGAGATGAAAAGTCGCAGTTATCTTTTTTTTCGTTTGTTTTTAATACTTTATTTCAATTATTTATTTTATTTTAAGTCAAGGAAATGGTTTTAGTTTTAGATTTAAAAAAATGATAATAAACCTAAATTGTAAAAACTTAAAAATATCTGAATCTTTGTGCATTTAGCTCAGAATGGCATTACACACAGAAGAGGAGTGACACCAGATTAAGCTGCAGTGTGAACATGCTTCAAATGCAAAAGAAAGCAAAAGCTTCTGACAGGATAAAACTTTAATAATGCATCAATGTATCTGCATGCAGATGACGTGTCGGGAGTCACTTAAAAAGCATGACATGAGATGCCGATTAACGTCTAAATATTAATATTAATCAGCTGTCTGTGGATGATCTGAGAAAACATCCGATTCTGGGTCAAGCGTTGAACACTTTCCATGAATACCAGCACATTTCCCTCTCTCAGCCTTTTCTAATGCAAGTTATCAAATAAAGACTGAAAAATTCAATATGAAGACATTTTCATTCTCTCAGAGTAACCTGAAAATATTAGCCTGATCTAAAGGAAAATTAAAACAGACTCAAAGGCATCAAGGCATCATCACAGCTATCAACAGATATTAAAAAACATCACAGAAATAAAAAAGTAAATGAATCCCTCACCAATAATCCTGGTCAGTCTACTTGAGATCAGCTGATGGACTAAAACACATCCAGAGATCTGAGTTTGAGGCGCTTGAGCGCTGACTGATGCATGCCACTGTCTCAAAGCGTCGGTTTCCACCGGACCCCCTCTGATGACAGGAACATATGACGCTAGTCTGAGAACAGAGCCGCTGGAGAAAGCCTGCAGAATCTACAACTCATTTGCAAAGGCAACCGTTACTATTGAGGGAGAGTCAAATGCTTTGGCCATCCATAACATCCTAACAACCCCATAGCAAACACTACAAACCACTTATACAGCTTAGGGACCACCAGAGCTGGGTAGTAACTGATTACATGTAATCTGGATTATGTAATCAGATTCCAAAAATGAAGTATTTGTAATTAGATTAAATTGCATTTGAAAATATTCGTAATCAGACTACAGTTACATTTTTATTGAGTATACGATTACATTATTTACTCAATATTACTCATGATGTTTGTGTGGCATCTGAACGAAAGCTCTGAGTGATTGATTCTTTAGTCTACTGTACAGCTAAATATCCTAATAATCAATCCTGGAGTACTTGTCTATTCAGTAGAGCCATGAACGTCAAACTATAATGTGTTCATGAAACAATTTATTTACTTTAAATTGATGAAAAGTGACAGTAAAAAAATATTTCTATTTCAACTAAACGCTGTTCTTTTGAACTTTCTGTTCATCTGTGAATCCTGAAAAATACAATGTATTTCCACAAAAATATTGTGCAGCACGACTGTTTTCAACATTGATAATAATCAGAAATGTTTCTCGAGCAGCAGATCAGCATATTATACTGATTTCTGAAGATCATGTGACACTGAAGACTGCAGTAATGATGCTGAAAATTCAGCGCTGCATCACAGAAATAAATTAAATTTTCTCATAGAGAACAGCTATTTTGGATCGTAATAATATTTCACAATTTTTACTGTATTTTTGATCAAATAAATGCAGCCTTGGAGAGCAGGAGAGACTTCTTTCAAAAAAGATATTTTGTAAATTTCCTACCATAAATATATCAAAACTTAATTTTTGATTAGTAATATGCATTGCTAAGATCTTCATTTGGACAACTTTAAAGATGATTTTCTCAGTATTTAGATTTTTTTGCACCCTCAGATTCCAGATTTTCAAATAGTTGCATCTCAGCCAAATATTGTGCTATCCTAACAAACCATACATCAATGGAATTATTTATTCATCTTTCAGATGATGTATAAATCTCAATTTCAGAAAATGGATCCTTATGACTGGTTTTGTGGTCCAGGGTCACATATTCCCAATTTCGTCATTGTAGTTTATGTGATTTAGGCTTGATTCAATTTCTGCATAAAAATGGTCCCTGACCTTCTGATGTAAAACCAAACATTTGTGAAAGCTCCAATGAAACCTCAAATGATTTCGTCTGAATTAAACCCTAAGCCTGTTGGAAATCCAACATTTTAAAGGGAACCGGCCAATGAGACGAGCCGCAGATGCTGTGTCCTTCCCTGAGGGCAGATCACAGAAAAATCTTCACATCAGCAGCCGGAAAACACGACAGACATTTGAGTCGTGTAAAATACAGGCCGTTAGCAACCCTACTCTCTAGATGTTATTTGCATGAAGTCTTTTCCATACAGAGAAGCAGAGAGATGCAGCTTCTGTGAGGGAAAGAGAGGCAAAGTGAACACAGGAGATCAATCGATGTGATCAGTAATGAACACAGCTTTAATTAATGACAAATCTGTCATTGACAGCTGCGGCAAAAGCCTTCAGGATCTCAAACGCGCAGCAGCATCACACGCCACCCGATCTCCAACCCTAGACAGACATTTGGGTGCTTTTGTTTAAATTAAACCATTAGCGTTCAAAGTGCCATGAAATGTGAATGGGTGCCGTCAGAATGAGAGTCCAAACAGCTGATAAAAACACCACAAGTAATCCAGACCACTCCAGTTCATCGGCTAATAACATCTGGAGAAGACAAAAGCTGAGACAAATCCATGTTTTTAACTACAAACTGTTGCTTCCTCGAGGTCAACCTGGTTGAACATCTTGATAAAGACTGTTTATAAGCTGTAGACCATCTGGTGTGACCAATGACAAAGCAGTTAGTGACCCGAAAGGACAAAACAATCACATACATCCATAAAACAGATTTATAGGTAAAACTACCCATGGTAAAAAAATTTAATCTAGGAGCGTTAAACAAAAACTCACATTGTAGTCAATCAACCCTTGTGCTGTGCTGAAACTCCTTCACCTTATGTGGTGCTCCTGGTCCAAAAAATTACCAGCAGCTTTTTAAAAATTGCTTATAAATCTCTCATTATGCAATATTGTCAACACATCTTGGATTCAATCTTTTGGTCAGCTTGTTTTCTTTCAGTTAGCACAGGTTTTGCATTTCATTTTGTAACTGATTGATCGTATGGCCTCAATGATCTGATCAGTTTTTGAGTGAAAAAGCATTGTTTCTGCATAATTTTGACAATATTCATATTCAGTACTCATAAACTGAGGTGTCACAGATATGAACCATCCCCGACCTACACTCACAATCACACACTTTGTAACGGCTCTTAATTAAGTCTATTAAAATGTATTTTTGTTCATTAAAATAAAGCTGAGATAAGATAAACTATAAGTACTGGATGAAAAAAAACTGTTAAAAATTATTTTATTATTTATAATAAACAACAATAATTTGTTGTTAACTAAAAGCTTTAAAAAACATTTCCATTCAGTGAAATAAAGCTGAGCCTGAAATGAGATAAAATATAAATATTAGATGAGAGACTTGCTGTTGTTGACTAAAATTATTACAAATATTATTGTTAATTGAAATAAAGCTAAAATAAAATAAATATAAATATTAGATGAAGAACCTGCTAATTGTTAACTAAAACTGAATCTATTAAAAATCATTTTTGTTGATTTAAGTAAAGCAGAAATCAAATAAAACATAAATATCAAATGAAAAACTTGTTAATTGAAATTAAGCTGAAAGAAAAAATATTAGATGAAAGATTTGCTATTGCTAATTAAAACTATTCACGATACATTTTGTTAATTAAAAAACCT